ATAGAGAGAAGATGACCCAAATCATGTTCGAAACCTTCAACGTTTCCGCTATGTATGTTGTCATCCAGGCTGTGCTTTCCTTGTATGCCAGTGGTCGTACAACCGGTTAGTCATCATTGATCTTGCGTTTTATTCATTATTTAGTTGCTTATGCTTGGTGCTGAAGGTTGGGTTCCGGTGAGAATGAAAATTATGATGAGAAGGGATCTCCACSGTTGGATCAATCCTAATTGAAGAGAACCACTAGATCAACACTAGTAAGATACACGAATCAATTCCCTTTTGAAGCACAGTTCATGGGTTGTTTCGGTTGAATCAATTCCCTTCTTACACTTCTCATCTCAACTCCTATCCTCACACGATCCTTCGTCTGCTGAAACCCGTTTAATATTTTTTCACAGGTATTGTGTTGGATTCCGGAGATGGTGTTTCACACACGGTGCCAATTTACGAAGGTTATGCACTTCCTCATGCCATCCTCCGTTTAGATCTTGTTGGTCGTGATCTTACGGATTCCTTAATGAAAATTCTCAGCGAAAGAGGTTATAATTCACCACTGTTGAACGGGAAATTGTCCGTGACATGAAGGAAAAACTTGCATACATGGCACTTGATTACGAGCAAGAGCAAGAGCAAGAGCTAGAAACTGCCCGACGGACAAGTTATTACGATCGGAGCAGAGAGATTCTGTTTCCCGGACATCCTCCTCCAGTCGTCACTTATCGGAATGGAAGCTGCTAGTATCCACGAGACCACCTACAACTCGATCATGAAGTGTGATGTTGATATCAGGAAGGATCTTTATGGAAACATTGTTCTCAGTGGTAGTTCGACCATGTTCCCTGGAATTGCAGACCGGATGAGCAAGGAAATCACCACTCTTGCTCCGAGCAGCATGAAGATCAAGGTTGTTGCACCCCTAGAGAGAGAGTATAGTGTTTGGATCGGAGGATCTATCCTTGCATTCTAAGTACCTTCAAGCAGGTATATCAAAATTTTCATTTACCACGAATACTATTATTACATATGATGAATAACCTGAGACTTAAGGGGCTGAATGGTTGGTTTTCCATTAAGGGGTTGTTTGGTTGATTTTCCATCAAGTCATGCATGGATAAAACTGCAGGTGTGTATTAATCTGTTTGTATAGATTGAAAAGTTTTTGTTTGAGAGAGTTTTTTCATAGACGGAATGAGCGTGTTTTTTAACTGGGAGGGGCAAGAATTTTTCTGCTTGTGGTCATTTCAAAATCAAGGTCATCCCGCAATATTTTAGCGATAATTAAATCGACATAAATACGCTTTTTTTTATCTATTGATGGGTTCATAAGGTTCAAGTGAAATGCTCATTTCACATGAAATTTTTAAGTTTAGGGCCTGTTTGTTTTTTGGTATTCAACTATTAATACCTCTGAAGTTTGATTCGATCCGACGTTTTTGGTATTAAGAGCATTTGCTTTTTTTTTCCAAATAAGAGCTTAAAACATCAATGTTTCCTCTGAACTTTTAAGTGGTAAGTTGATCACTTAATACCTCTTATTTTTCATCTCTCGATCTCTCACAGCCGCTCTCACGGTGATCTCTCGCAGCTCTCAATTTCCAGATTTCTCGATCTCTCACAGCAATTGAACCCCAAATCGCTCGATATCTCACAGCAATAGATCTCCACATCTCCTCTCATACGCTCTGGTAACCTAAAATCCTCAATTTCAGAATCTTGTTCTACCTCCTGCTTCATATATACACACACACACACACACACGTGGATTTGGGTTATTAAAATAGTTATCATATGGGTGTTTGAGTTCCCAAAGATTTGTATTTTAGTTGACTTTGGCATGTATCATATGGATTTGTGTTCAAGATTCTGAATTAGGTTCTCCTCTTCTCTATTTTCTGGAATCTAGAAGCTGAAATGTTYAATGTTGATTACTTGATTTACATATTTAGCCATTACCCATTTAGGTAGTTCTTGTAACTTGTTTAATTTTATTGAATATATTGTTGATTATCAAGGTTTTTTTTCCACTTACGTTTACAATTCATTAGTTACATAGTAGAAGCAGTGGCCTGTTAAATGAACATCCAACACCCTTTACATACATAATGTAGAATAGGTAAGTACGTACATACAGATTCATTCGATCATGAAAGTGAAAATGCAGCAATAGCTGTTAACAGGTTCAGTCACTCCAGTACCACACAAATGACCTTTTATCTTGTTGAGCTTTCATCAAGTACGTACATACAAATTAATTCGATCATGGTATCYCCCAAATTTACTCAACGCCATCAACCAGAACGCAGACTTGCCCAATTTCTAAAACAAAACAATTCATTACTCTGAGTGCAAATTTGAAAAACAAACCAAGGATATAAGCCTTCATCTTGTTTCATCTACATTTGATGTCAAAGCTGATAAAACCAAATCCAATACCCCTATCTTCAATCAAAGATTATGAGTTGCAATAAGCAAAATATGAATGCATGKGCCGTCTCCAAGGAATTGATGGTGTTGAGTAAATTTTGRAGTTTACTGGTATGTTAATTTTAGTTCAATCTGTTTCTATTGTTTGTATATGTGTTTACTGGATGTTACTGTTACTAGGTAGTTTATGGGTTTGTATTTGAGTTTACTGGTATTTACTGGTTTGTTGTCAATTTCAGAAGCTGCCTCCATCTCGCTCTCAGCTCTCGATTTGAAGCTCCATCTCGCTGAAGCTCTCGATCTCTCGAATGCCTCTCGGTCCAAGCATCTCTCGATCTGCCTCTCGATCTCTCAAGAAAGGTAATGGGTCTTCTTCTGCCTCTCGATCTCTCTGAGAACCCATATCTCTTCTTCGAGATTAAAGTGAAATGATGAAAAGGTGCTGTGATATTTGTACAGGAAATGTTTCAGTACCATCATGCAGAAACAGGATATGTGATGACGACGTGTTGGATTCGTAATGGATCGTGTATGCTACCTGCCGATGCTTCCCATTAAGTAGGAGTTGGGGGTTTTGTGATGAATGATAAAAATGAGGTATGTGTATGATGATGTTTAAAATGCAAAAGTGAATTTCTACAAGTTTAAGAAAAACAWGTTGGGTGCAGGTTCTTGTGGTTCAAGAGAAACATTGTGTGCACYTGAGCTTGTTGGCCTTTGGAAGTTACCAACTGGGTTCATTCTTGCGGTATGCAATGCCTTTTCAGATGACAAAGCAAAACACACACAAATGAATTTTCAGTATTTATAGACTCGTCTCTTTTTCCTTAACCAGTCGCAGGAGATTTTCATTGGAGCTGTATGATTAGATCAATTTCAAGTCAGATCAATATTGATGATCTTGAAGTTCAAGCATCCAAGGTAATATCTTGTCAACTGTTATTGTTCATGTTGTTTTCTTAATTAGCTTG